AAAAAGTGGTGCCTTAGCGACATTTAAACACAATTTATTAGCACACAAGGTATTAGTATACTTCATTTCACTGGTTAACTTATTCTACACATAAAATTTAGCACAAAATGTAGTATTAAACTGCCTCCGTGGCCGAACGGTTACCATACCGGACTGCCATGCAGAGGTCCTGGGTTCGATTCCCAGGCCGGGAGAAATATGTGTATGGCCTACATTTATTTCTCTCGTGAGTTTGGGTGTAATTTGTGGTTGTCTATGTGTGTGTCCATGGCACCCGCGATACAGGGTTTCCCTAATGCGGGGCTATGTTGAGTGTGTGCGTTATTATTATTATTATTATTATTATTATTATTATTTGATAATACGTGGAAAATTTTAGGCAAGCCGGTGAAAATGGAGTTACATGAACGCCTCGCCACTGATCTTAAGTGTCTTTAAAAAAAATTGCAGACAATTTACAGTACATTTTGTTAGTACACTTACAAACTGTCTATTGTACGTTAGTACAAAAGTTACAGAATAAAAATAAAGAAAATAAAATTAGTGAAATGACTACATGATTCCTGCTAAGTTCACCGAGCTCACATAACGTGAAGTTTGGTTAATCTAGCAAGCAGATCGGAGTCCCACCTATCATTTTAACTCTGAGCTCTCTTACACTCTGCTCAGGCAGAATATTTTAATATATATTATATTTTTGTTTTTCTTACTTTTTTCTTGTGTGGTGTCCTTTGTGGTATTCCAATAAATGTGTTTTCTTTTTGTTCTTCTTCTTCATGATATTCACTAGTTTTTTGTGAAATTAGTCCATTAGTTTTGTTTTAACTATTAATACAAAGATCGAACACGAAGAAAAATTCCTTTTTTTTATATATCAAGTGGCGGTGCGAACAAGTTGTGCGCGTGATGGTAAACTAGACGCGTGTCCATAACAATTACTGTGCCACTTAGAGCTTTAAAACGCTAAGATCAGAGCGGTAGTGCCCCTGCCCCTCGTGACCCTGAGACATAAGTTGACAAGTCCCATGTGCCTGTAATTTCACCACCACCCTTACACTTCAAAACCGTAGAACGTATAAATGGGTTGATTGTCATGATGAATAAAACTTTAGATGTCAATATCTCGAAAGTTACCGAAATTTACATTTGGAAAATGTATTAATTAAAACAAGGAGGGGGGGCTATAGACGCCAAAAGACAAAAATACATTTGTATTATTTAGTAAAAGATAAACTAAGGACACTGTTCTAAAAGTAGCCGTTAACTTCTAATTCTGTCGTGGAAAGCATGTGGCCGAGAAAGAGATCCTTGTCCGTAGTAACCTTGTGAACGAATTCTAAAAGCGGCGTGATATATTTATGCGCCCGCGTCGACTGCGCGGCGTTGAAGAGAGGCGTTGCGTAACAATGGAACAAAGTACATTACGGAAAGTGTTAGGTAATTAGAGTAAAAGGCTGACTTACGTTCTTGACCCACGTTACATAATTTTCAGAAACGAATGATAGCTGTTGGCAAATACAAAATCATGGCTGTATGCGTCTTCGCTTTTTACAATATTTTAGTTTGAGTTGTTAGTTGTGTTTGGTTTGTTGTTGTTGTTGTTGTGAGTTGTGGTATTATGTATGGAATAGGAGCTAGTTGGCCGTCTGTTGATAAAAAAAGACACGCCATTTGCAAAATCCATAATTGTTGTGTTCTGAGCCATATTTTATTCATACAAGAACTAAACATTGTATTTATTCCCTCGCAAATATGATGAAAAACATTATATGTATCACGGACGGTAAAAAAAAATACAAAACTCGAGTTATGAAAGCCCTCAGCTTTCGGATTCGGGCTTCTCATAGACCTTCGTTAGTAATTTGTTATTTGCCGTCTTTAATACATAATAGTCGCGACGCGCGCGATAAAATTGAGTCGCGCTATTGGCTGTCTCAATTGAGACAGCCAATTGCGCGCGCTTATTTCAATTTTATCGCGCGCGTTGCGACTATCTGGGGTTATAGGGATTGTATATATATGATATAGTAACAAATTAGCACATTCTTTAAACAATATCCTTAGGTGTATAGCATATTTTTGTAACATCGTTATTTAATAGTAAGTAGCGGTACCATTTGATCTAGCAAAACACTCTTTCTTCGGATCTCTTCCGGTGAATGTTTCAGTACGAGGACAAAAATGTGAATTAAATAATCGTAAACACAATAACGTTTGTACTTAGCATTTTAATTAGTTAAATTATACTTCTTCCATTAATAATATATTTTAAATTAGAATTTATGAGTTTTGCATGAACAACAATCAATAAAAACAAAAGTATGTGAAAATGCGTATGCGTATTGTTTTCACTCTAAGGCGACGAAGGTGATTCACAGAACAACATGCAGAACATTTCGCACTCACAACTAAACACTGTCGTATCTTATAAAATTGTGGAACTGAAAAATCTGTATAAAAAAAATACTGCGATCGATCTTATTGCGAATAATGTAATTATTTTTATTTATACATAATGTTTAGTTAACCATTTATGAACGAGAACATAAATCGGCTTCATTCAGAATTTTTTTGAACTTTCAAATGGTGTTTTCCCAATTCCACCAATTTTGAATTAAGACAGTATTTGGTTTCATCTGCGATTTGTGACAATTTTTCGGAAACAAGACTGCGATATACCTGCCTACTATAATTCATTATCTATTACTGTTGTCACCAAATTACCCTTTAAGTTGGAAGCTTTGTCTGGCTTTCGCTGGACACTGCGACTGACATCTCCGGTACTATAGGAAATTTGGTAGTTGCATTTAGATTGAACAGCTTAGCGGTAGCAACTGCTAGTTGTGCGATGCACAACGGGAGGTGAGCGTGCTTACAGCTCCGGTAGTTCTGCACGTGCACCCGGGGTCGCTCACCCAAGGCATACCCCGGACACTCCATACAACAGTCGAAAGTTATTTACCTACTACTACATACAGCAAGGCGCTGTCTGCAGACGCGCAAAAGTGTGCGTGAAGTGGCAGGGTTACCCATCACTTTCTCGTACGTGGTCAGAGCGGCAACATAGCGAAAACTCTAACGGGAATTTTTTATATATAAATCTATTAAGGAATCCTAATAATTACACATACTCACTAGGTATTTATATTAATATAATATTATATTATATATTAATATATATATTATATATTCATTCACTAACTAGAAAAATCTGAAAGTTTTTTTTAATATTTAAAAGCACCTAAAATGTTATGTTTTGGACAGGCACTTTTAAATAAGCTAACTAAGGTATTTGAATGCGTGCCCAACTTTATCATTACTTAGTTAATAATTATAATCACTACATATAAGACGGCAATACAAATTGAAAATTCGAGTCTACTATATTACATCTCAATATGTTGATATAATAAATCTGTATTTTTAATTACCTCGTTTCATCTTTCGGAAAACGAAAAAACTCTATCCCGTTTAGATGATGATAAACAGCCGTACTCACGACCATTGTAAATAGTAACGTACAATGAAGTATTAACGTAAAACTTTCTTAATAAATAAATGAAAACTATATTCAAATATCAAAGTCGTTCGACAGCCTTATTACCGTTCAGTCAATGTGGGGCGTGGTGCGATATCTAAAGCTAGGGAGGGGCGGAGAGTATCCATTCTCGTTACTTTTTGTTATCTGCCTAAGGCACTAGCCTTTAGAGCACCGGTTGAAGTCCGTGACAACGATCTGTAACACCCTGTCCACGGGCTGATCTACGGTCAGAACCTGAACTGACAAGGTCTCTACGCAGGCTTGTTTGCACAGGTAATAGTGCCCTTCCCGTATAACCAAGAGGTTTATAGTGAGGGGCGCTATAATCAAAACGTAGATCTAAGATATCGTCATAATAACTACGTGTTAGATAAAGATATATAGAAAGACAACATGAGTAGATTCCACACAAATATGATTCAAAATGTATTCTATTTAAGTTTATTACACGACATTTGGAAGATTTTACAGGGGCAGCATGTTTTAGGTTTCTTATGACTGTTTTAAAATATGTACGTCCTGTTTTAAAATTGAATTTTAAAACATACTTAAAAACAACATTGTATTTTAAAACGGAACGTAAATATTTTGAAACAGTCGTTAAAACCTAAAACAGTGTAAGGCCCTTTCTACGAACCACCGACGATATGGGACTGCTGTCACCAAATATTGTAGATACCAATTACGAGATCTTTTGGTGAAATTACAGGCACGTGGGACTTGTCAACTTCTGTCTCAGGGTGACGGGCGCAGATCTTTGCAATTTAAAGTTCTGAGTGGCACTGCAACTGTTCTGCACAGGCGTGTAGCTTACCATCAGGCGTACGACTTGTTCGTTCCGTCACTTGATATTATAAAAAAAAACATTTGAATGAAGAAATCGCACCTTTCAAATGATAGTGACTGCACAAATCAGTAATGAAATATATCAAAATAAGCTGTATATTTATATACAGCAGACAACAAAACCGATGTCTTCTCATAATAACATTTTAGAAACATTTCTGAGGGTACATAAACATTTAAAGAACGCATCAAACTTCGCAATTTCTACTGTTCTTATCGCGAACTCCATAGAGTTGAATTTAAATCTAAAGTTTTCAGTTTGTCGTACGACAAACTTGACGCTGCACAATTTATATATTTAATATAATAAAGTTACGGCTACTACGGCTAAATAAAAGTCGTTGAAAAACAAATACAAAGATCCGACAAAACAAGCACATGGAAAAATTCGTGAGGTCCGCTGGTTCGTTCCGTGGCTTAGTTGGCATAGAGTCTGGCACAGTTTGCTAGAAGACGTCGGTTCGAATCCGGCCGGACTGAAAGGATTTTTTTTAAGTGTTCGATCTTTGTATTAATAATTATAACAAACTAGTGAAGTAATTTCACAAAAAATAATTGAATAACAATTCAATGCAAATTTAATTATAAACTTGTATTTTTTTTTTTGTTTCAGGGCAACCAATACAACAAGACAAAGGTCGTTTAAACAGTGGTGTTTAAAAATCGTTTAAGAATTTAATGTTATAATTATTCAAAGAGTTATTGTTCAAAGTGTTAACTGCCGAAGCTTTTAAAAACTTTCCCTTTTGTAAAAAACAATATATAATAAAGATGGCGTTTTTCCTCTAAAAAAATGTGAAGTTTAAAGATGGCCACCGTCTCGATTTCCCGCGAAAAAAATGTCAGAAAAACTATTGAAGAAAAATTACAATCTAAGATCTCTGGCAGTATGGCTAATTATTGCAGTAAAGCCTGTCCCTAAGGACGAAATATTTTGCTAAAATTAATAATGTATTGTTAGTTTCGGTCAGCTAATATGAAACAAGGCGGCATTTTAATGTGCAGTCAATAGCACGTCACGCTATACACTTTTGTTCGAATATCGTCTAGAGCAAGATCTGTACTTAAATTACGAGTATTATGGTTTCTTGACCGGTGTGGTAGAATGTGCCCTGCTTGTATAAAAAAAAATTATAACGTTAATAATAAAAACTTGAGCGCCATCTTTGTTATTCACGAATATAATTAAACTTATTGATGTGTAAGTGTCACAAGACGAAAAAATAAAAGAAAAAAGCTATTCTCTAAAAGAAAATCATTCCAGTTCTACATGAGGAAGGTAAATAAGTAAATAGAGTATTAATTTGTGTTTATGTAATATATAACTGTAGATAATCTGTATAATTTATTTCAAATAAAGTTTACGTCAGGTATTTTGGTTGTTTTTTTTGTTAAAACGTAGTTGAAACCCCATTTACCATATAGGTACGGGTTTACTGGTGAGCACAGGTACAGGGGTACAGGAGACGCGGAAGGAAATTGAAGCTACACTCTACACTATAGGTCCCCAAAGTTTTTGGCTCACCGCTCATTTAGGCACGATAAAAACAATTTCAACGCCCACCATGTAGCATCCTCTGGACAGCATAAACGCCTCCCAATTGCTTCCGAAGCCATACCGCCACTCTAGGACTCTTCAGCGCCCACTGGGGGGCCACTTGGTAAGCTATGCTCTACACAAACTCAATATAGAATCTTCAGGGCGGGGTATTTCTATGCGAGCCTACGTTTGAGGCTGCAGGCAGGAGGTGAGATGTAAGTGTAAGATGGCGACTAACGGGGCAGCGGGCGGCGCGGCGTGTCGTTGGCAATTTACAAATTTTGGGATAAATGTGAATTTAAACTTTTTCTCTGTAGTAATTAAAGAGACATCTTCATATAAAAATTATGTTCAAAGTTAGATAATTTTACTGACCTCCATTTACTGTACCTCCGAGCATTTCTCAGCCCCTTCGACAGCCCGAGAAACTTCGAAGTATTCCTCTAGTTGACGCATTAGTAGCTTAACATAAGAAAGATCTATGAAATGGAGTATCCTAACGTCAGATAGGTCGCAAAGTGTAATTTAAAAGGAACAAGGAAACAGAATTTGTGAGAAACCAAGATACCTTTCACGGGAAAGAGCCCCGAGCACGTACCGTGAGCGCCTCTCAAGAGTAGGTCCAACGAAATGCAGGAAGGACTAAGGGAAGGTTTATATCATCCCTTAAACAGGCCACTGCTAATCATTAGACTTAGTCACTTCTAAGGAAAGGGTTGAGTCTGCCTTAAAGAAATGAGAATACAGAAGGCTCGGTCCACAAGATTTGTTGTAAGAGACGATAAAAGAGGAAAAAGAAGGCCCAAAAGGGCCTAATAGAACTGTAATTTTAGTAGTCATATAGATTTATGTGGTACAAAAGGACTTAAAGCTATTATTACATTCCAATATAAACCTTGTAAGGGCACTGCAATTAACTTACTTCACTACACACATAATATCATGTACTTTTACTATCGAAATACTCCTTTAAGTCATGAAACAGTTCGACAGCAAGTGACTTGCATTGGCGAACATGTAATTATTTTCAATGTTTCATAGTCTAAGAGGTTCTTATAAACTTTTATTGCCATATTATGTGCACCCGATCTAAGAATTTCTAAATTTCTGTATTTTCTTACAAACTTACTAATTTCAAATACACTAATAATATTTGATGTCAAAGTTTTTAAACTACCAAAATATGTTTAACAATAGAAAGAAAGAAAACTTTATTACACAATCACAGATACGCATATAAACGAAACAATAGAGGAACAATAATAAAAATTAAAAAATATATATTAAAAAAGACATAATTGTGCAGTATCTACTCACCATCATGCGTGTCGCGACTGGTACAATCGGGACTTGCTCAGCTTTAGCGAACATATTTTTTTTAAACTGATTTTCAGCAAGGCGGGGGCGAGTGAGCCACTGACAAAAATAAAGAAATAAACAGATTAAAAAAAACCGACATAATAGGAAGCATATCGCACTGCTATTACAATAGTGTTATAACTCAAAATATGTTAAATTCAAGATTATACTATTGCTGAACGTAAAATTTAATTCTCTACACGTCAATAAAACCGTTGTAAAGATATTGTAAGAAACAATGAAAATATAATATCTACTTTACTCGAAATGAGGCAAAATTTTCGTGAGCTAGTTCTGGACAAAACAGTCCTTACTCAAAATTATTAAATTATTTTATCCTTTTTAGTTGTAAATATATTTGGCAAGTAGGATTATTTAGATGTCTGTAATTAACTTATACATACATTTTAATAACCTTTCACGAGAAGTAAGTAATTAGTTTTTCATCGATTCTAAAAAAATACACTTTTTGAGTTAATACACTATTATATTAATAGTGCGATATAATATAACTATAATATACACATGAAATACTTATAAGTTACAATATGCAAATAACAGTATATCAATAAAATAAACTTAATTTATAATATTTTTATACAAATTTGATTAGGAAGTGTTTTGTGATTTATTGGCATGTCCTCCCGTTTCTACTTCTGTGCCATACCTGTTTTTTTTTTATAAAATATATAATTTGACCTCCAACTCACCTGATGGAAAGTGGTGATGAGGTCGACGATGGAGCATGCACACCTAAATAATGCCTATTCACTCTCGCCTTGAAAAGATCCAAGTTATAACGTTCAGCGAACAAGTCTGCAGGCAGGGAATTCCATTCCATAGCCGTTCGCCATATAAATGTGGAAGCGTAACGCTTCGTGCGACTCTTTGGAATATCCACAACATAGGGGTGGAACCCAAGCCTACGCCTAGTCCCCCGGTGATGGAAGGGGGAAGACGGAATTAAATCGTGTAATTCTATCGCACACTCTCTCCGTGATATATCTTGTAAAATACCTATAAGCAGGCAAGTTTACGGCGGTGTTCAAGGTTCTGCAGCTTCGCCTCCACTAATTCCCAGTCACCTATAAGCCTCCTGCCACAATTGTCAATTGAATCCAAAGTTGCCAGTTAATATGTAGCAGAGCCATTCCAAAGGTGGCAGCAGTACTCCATGCACGATCGGACTTGTGCTTGGTATAGCTGAAGCAACTGTCCCGGTGTAAAGTAACGCCTCACCCTGGAAAGGATGCCAAGCTTCCTTGCTGCATTTTTGACCATGGATTCAATGTATCTGCCGAAGTTCAAATTGGACGACAGGTCCATTCCCAGGAAGCGGGAGACAATCGGCTATCGGCATGGATATATCACGAAAAGTCGGAGTCAGCTCAAAGGGACTCCGTTTTGTAGAGAATAGACACGCCTGTATTTTGGTAGCGTTAAATTTGACAAGATTGGCATCGCCCCAATCGGAGACTGCCTGGAGTGTCAAACCCGAACGGCTAACCATGCACTGTCGACAAGGCAAGGATTTTCTCTGAACTGTGCTGTCATCAACATACGCAAAGGTACCTGGAATTAACATATCATTGATATGCAGCAGAAAGAGAGTTGCAGATAGTACGGAACCCTGAGGAACTCCGGCGGCATCTATCGCCATATGTTCGGAAGAGTAGCCTTCTAAGATCACTCGAATTGAACGTTCACTCAAGAAATCCGAGATCCAATTGCAAACGTCAGTGGGAAGCCCATAAGAGAGAAGCTAACTTAAAAGGCTTGCATGCCAGACCCAGAGTCCAAGGCTTAAGAAATGTCCAAAGACACTGCAAGTGCTTCGCCTTATTCATATTCATATTCATATTCATTTAATCATTGCATTGCATGGGTAGGTAGTAGTAGCAGGTATACAATTTGTTGTGATCTGCCATGTAACCCTGCAGGGCACCGCAATATTTACATTAATTACATAATACTACATAATATCATTACATAATATCCACTTTCAATTTAATAATTTACATATCTTTACAAATAAAATTCTTACAAATACAGTCAAATAAGGTCAAGTGGAATAATTAATAAAATTTAAATATGTCAATAGTAAGATTAATTGTCAATAAAAAAGAGAAAAATAAATTACAATAATTAAATAGATTACAATAATTAAATAGATTCCAAAATTTAAACAACATTCAATATAATAACAATGACAATTAAATAAAATCTTAAATATAGGATAAACTTCCAAGAAACGCAATCAAAACTGTAAAATACTAAATTAAATTTATTTATTTTAGTATATCTTAATTTTTTAAATTTTTATTTTTTATTATTTAAATCATGATTAACAACTTAATCTCTACTCTCAAAAAACTCTTGTAGTGTGTAGAAGGATTTTTGTATTAAGTATTTCCTTAAACTTTTCGTGAAATTATCAATGTTAATCTAATTCCTGATAATCGTTGGGACTTTGTTATATATTTTTAAACACATTATAAATGGGCCGGAGCTATGCATTTGCAATTTTGAAAGTGGAACAGGTATTTTGTGTCTAGGTCGCAAAGGTCGCTTATCGGTCAGTGGCTGCTCGTTTGGGAAAAGGTGATTATGTTTTCTTATAAATTTGCTCACCTCTAAGATATAAATTGATGGCAAGGTGAGAATATTAAGTTTTTTGAAATATGGCCTGCAACTGTCTGTCGACCTAATGTTGGCCAATATTATCACACATTTCTTTTGGCACACTTTTTTTTTCCTTTCGCCTTGCTTTTCTATAGTCTCGCTCCATATGTGACAGGTATACACAAGAAGATCCCCAGTAGATCGCCCTCGTCGGAATCCGTACTGGCGATCACTAAGGTCGTTGTCTTCAAGGTACGACAGGAAACGGTTGTTGAGTACACGTTCCATAGTCTTGCAGAGTATGGAAGTGACTGAGATAGGTCTATAGTTGGCAGGGTTAGGTTAGGTTAGGTTTGCTTCCCCTTTTCGACACAGGTTGCACGTTTGCAAGCTTCCACGACCTGGGAACTACACCGGTCTCAAGTGAGAGGCGGTACAGGCGTGTGAGAACAGGAGACAAGTCAGGCGCACAGCCACCAGTTTGGGAAATTAACGTTTCTAAACTGGTTCTGTCCCGGCATGAATTCCGTTGGTCTGGTAGTAGGTAGGTACAGGGAATTCCCTAATTTGTGACCAAGCAATTGATGTGGTTATCTGCCACATTATTACCTAAGTATGTGTAATAATAATGTGTAGGCCACTACATAACGCTGTGATAACGCTTCTCGAAATGTGCAAAATTTGATGTCTCTCTAAACTTCAGACAGACGACGTTGGTTCAAAC